ATATAGTCACAATACAAAGGGCTTTATACAAAAATATGCGATAAAACTCATCCATTTGTATGTTATTTGTGCACTTACTTCCCGTTGAAATATTCATCCGTTTGATACCTAGGCTTATTATTACAATTGTTCAAATTACAGTAAATTACTCATCCATAATGATTGCCTAAAAGTTGGCGATCACTTCCGTAACGATTGAATGATTAAAATTACCGTTCAGAAAGGCGGTAGTGATCGACGAACTTTTTCTTCGACGCATTTTTGAGAAACGGAGTAAATTTCAAAGGTCGCATTTATTGTCCCATGGGAAATACGCCCACATTTCGGCAATAAGAAGCTATTTGGTAATATATTTGTTCAAATGGAACAAATCTAAGATTAGTTTTTTTTTTTGGTGTTCGACAATTATAAACAATTATTCTGTTTATAATTTACTCATAAAGGTCATCGTTTAACATTCACCGTGAACTTGTTACTTCATTTATTTTGTTATTTGTTAAATAATGGTTTATTGAACGGTGTCTCTGGAAAAACATGATGAATGTTTTATTTTTACCGCGTTTTTTTAGTTGTTTCGCTGGTAATAGATCTATTAACTGTTATTTTAACCGACTTGTCACAGACGATAAACAAAGTGATTTCGTAACATCTACTTTACATTTTTTTAAAGAATAATCTGATATAATCGTGTGTACGTCGCATAACCTTTCTCAACATCATTAATACAAAAACGGTCGAATGACTAAACTACAATAAATATCTCAATAAATGAATTGTTACAAGCGTCAAAGCTTAGGTTTCTGCATTATTTATAAACAAACAGATTTAATTCTGCCGGAAAAAACAAGGCTGTATCTTGTCGTCTTGGGAATACTTTTTAAACAAAAAAAAACACTAAACAATTGAGCATGTTTTTGTAATTCACAACGAGTTTACATTATATGTTAAAGATAAAGGTTAGTACAGACTAGCGAATTTATTTGTTGCCCGTTAAGCATTCGTTTACTCTGATGAAACAGTCAACAACGTCAATCCTAGATCGCCACATTCCACACAAAATCCTCCACGTAGCAGCGTACTCTAACGAAGAGAATTTACTCGAAAATATGCTGGTCTGTACGGGGCTTAAGGTAGCTCAACACTTGTTAATGCGTAGTTTCACCCGGTTCCACTAAAATAACTAAAACGGTAACATTTATGGGTAGTGGTATGGTTAACGAATAATGCCAATTTTAATTTGTGCTGCTCTGGAAAATCAGTTTTGAATTTATACACAGAGACCAGTTTGACTCTAAGCCCCCCGGTTTTTTGCAAGTGTCTCATATTCATTCGCAGTTCTCTTTAACCTGTCCTTTGGGTCTCTAATGTCTTTTAATATCCATTGCCTCTTCCCTTTCAGTTACTTCATGTATTTATTCTCTCATGTTTCTTCAAAATCGATATCGTAATGGTAACGATTTGAATTTGAACGCCAGCTATATTCCGTGTCACTGTTATGTGTTATATGTCATACAGAATAGAGAAAGTCGTTGCTGAACGATAACCGCTGTGTAACGACATCGTTACGCGTTAGAGAATGTCCCTTAATCGATAAAAATAACGACTACGACATTATTTATTTTATTTTTAAATGGATACATACACGTACCCAAGATTTTTCACCACGAAAAATTTTCCTCTAGTGAGAGAATGTGGCATTTATCCCCTAGATACGAATTAAGCTCAGTTTTAAGTCGCAATTTATAAGAACTTTACAGAAATAGAAGTTGTGCACATAGCAGTTAGTCTAAGAGCGCCATTTTTTTGGAGAGGGAATATTCCAACGGAATTAATTTTTTAGGGAGAGCTTTCTTGCAGGCGAGCAGTCCAACAATTAGTCTTCGTGAGCCAACGTTTTAATTAGACTAATATTCCAGTGAACATAACTTGAACGTACGTTTCTTTTATATTTTTTAGCGCATTTCTTAAGAATTAAAAAAATGCGCTATTTTTTTCGTTTTGTCCGCCCGTCTGCCGCGACTCACTTTTGCGGTTTTGAACTACTTTTAGCGGAATTGTCTTAGGGTCATGGAATTGCTTGCAGTAAGTATCTAGCCTATGTGTGCTGGGGAGGGGGGAGGGGGGGGCGCATGGATTATTCCCTGAGATGTCATTTTTTAAATATAACATGAATTTTTTCATGGGATTCTAATAAAAGGTCTCGTTGAAATGAATTACTTTGTGCAAGCTCTTTCCTGGGAGACTTCTTTTCTAGATCAGTGGATGACGGGGTGAAAGGGGGGGGAATTGATTTTATCTTTTATGGTATTCTAATTAAAGGTCACAACAAAAAGAATTAATTTCTACCAACCATAGTCCTCCCCCTCGGCCCCTTTTCATGATCGGATATAATTCCTTATATCTGAAGAACAGATTGTCAGAGGGTACTCATTGGGACGTCTCGTCTGGAAGAATAAAATCCATTGGCTATATCAAACTTTTAAGAGCGAATATCTCGAAAAGGGTTTATCGGATGAAAGTGCAACTCGAATGTGAAAGGTTCTGCTGGCATGTCTCCACAAGGTTGACGAACAAAAAATTAATGAATGAAAAATCCTGGACGTCAGAAGGAATGCAGCTTGACCTTTGAAAATTTGACGCGATTTCAAAAATTACGCAATCCGCCAGGAGATTATCTGCGCACAATAAGCGGACGAGATCCGAGTTCGGGGTTCAGGATTAATTTCCTCTTGCAATTTTTTTTTTAATTGAAAAGTGCACAACTTTGATTAACTCGCTTTAGGTTTCATAGCGCGCGCTTCAACGCAAAAATCTCTTACACTTAATATTTACGGAAGTATCGTCACAATCCGAAAACTACCCCTACTACTTTATAGAATAATAAATGAACTTTTCTCGGTACGGCACAAACGCAAGATGTGCTCTCCGGTTTGACTAAATATTTATCTTGCTCTTCAATGCAACACCTTAATTCGCTTTCCAATGTAATTTTTCGGCTGCTCAAACTTAATGTAATTTCACCAGCGATTTAACCACTCCCAGCAAATCTTCGCGGGCGATTCTTAGACTTTTTCTAATTGCCGACGCGCACGCTGTTCACTCGCGGCTTCGTGCGTAATTTCCCACGGCAGTCTTCGAACGAACCCATTCTTACTACCTTAATTTTCTAGAACTACGCCCAAAGATATTTTTAATTTGTTCAACCAGTGGCATTCATTTCTCTTAGCTAGATATCTCTAATAACGTACATTTCCGGAATTCGGTAGCTCCCACGCCTCATTGCTAGCAAGGCGTGCCTGTAAAATCCGCTTGTAATTCTAGCTACTCGGAAACCCTTAATAAAAATACAACAACAAAATGTGCACAATGTTTTTTCCTCCGCCCATCAGTCTGGATAAGTAATAACAAGGATCTTTGACATTCCTCTACCTCATACCGTTTAGTTATCGTATTAAACGGATGCAGAAGCTGTCAGAAAAGAGTATCCGAAAACAATCTAGTCTAGACCCTATTGATCGGTGAGAGGACCACTTGGAGATTCTTTGAGTATCCATATTACTCGAGATGTTCCAGGAATCTCAAGAATCTGAAAGATCAGATTAATCAGCAACATCCGAATTCGAAACCGTAGAATTCGTAGAATGACTTAGGACTGAATAAACTGAACAATGGGGACTAACCAATGATTAAAATTAAGCTTGAACATTCGAGGAAAGAGCCTAAAAGATAAAAAATAATCTAATGAATATGAAGTGTCCCAAAATGTAAAAGAATGTAAAGAAACGAAAGGATTCCACGAGTCTGAAAAATCTAAAGAAATCGGGCCGATCTGGTGAGTCCATTGAATCAGAAGAATCTGAAGAACCCGAAGAGAATGAAATGAAATTGAGTAAGCCGAGGAATGTAGAGAAATGGAAAGCAAAGAATATCACGTATCGTAACAGTCCACTGAAACGGAAGAATCTAAGGAATCTGCAAAAATTAGCATAAGCGTCCGAAGAGTTTAAAGGAAACGAACCATCTCTGCAGGATTCGACGAATCTGGCAAATTCGGAAAAATCAAAGAAACGGAAGATGAATGAATGATCGGTAGGGGAGGGTAGGGCGACTTGATCCCTTTTTGACCTTTTTTAATAGAGTTCAAACATGCAAAGACTTGTCTTATTTGCGTGTGCTACATTAAACTCTAGCAACCTTGGCACAAACCTTGACACCCTTTTAACTGTGAAATATTTCTTATCTACAAAGCTACAATTTTTTTTCAGGCATGCTACAGCAGGGATCAAGTGTACCGCCCTCTGGGACACTTGTTCCCCAGTGATGGAAGAGTTGATCCCATTGGGATCTAGTCTCCCTAAGCACAATAGTTTATGTTAATATTTTGCTAATAATTTGTTTACAGCAAATTGTTTTATGGAGGAAAATGAAATTGACAAATTACTTATTTTTTTAATGAAATACCTCATGAACCTAATATAATAAAAGGCACCTAATATCTTAACCGATGTTAACATCAGGAATTTGATTTTGAAATTGTAGTGCCCACGCCTGATTTCAGGCACTGGCAGAACTTTTTTCACATTGTCTCTTGGCACAAGCGCCTCATCTCTAGTTGCTGGAAAATGAAAATGGGATTTTTTCCTCCTTAAGAAGTTCACCAATATTTCTGGTCCTGTGTCGGCTTCCGTTACTTCTCCCACAAAATAGGTCTTTTCTTTTTTACCGTCAAACTCTACAAATACAAAGTCCTTAAGTTTAGGATTGCACGCCTCAAAGAAGTCATCAATTTCCTCTTTTGAATCATCAGACACTGCAAATGGATCAATATCATCCAAACTGTCGTCGCTAGCCTTCCAATCATCTTCATCTTCCGAACTGTCACTTCTTGTCTTTTTATTTATTTTAGATCTACTTATTTTCACACTTTCTAGCGTTTTTGTAAAATTCTTTTTTTTAGATCTACTTACTTCTTCATTTTCTACTGTTTTTGTAAAATTCCTTTAGACCCTTGACGCCTTTCTTTCAGACTTTGCAAGAAGCTCTGCTTCCAGCTCAACCTTCTCAGGTGTTTCGGTTAAAATTCTACATCTGCCACGCTTGCGGCCTTTAGTTGGAATCCCAACCCTCGGAGGCGCCTGGGGAAATGGTCGAACTTCTACTGGAGAAATCATTACTGATGAAGGATTGGTGGTTGGCGATTGATGAAGCTGATTAGATGGTCCGGGCTGAGAACTAGGCGATAATGCTGGAGGAAATTCTGGAACTACGGGATCTACGGTCGTTTCACCCATGGGGTTCGGCCTGTCAGTCACCAAACTCGTGTAAAACTCATCTTCTCTAAAAATATCTGAGTTGAAGGGAAAAATTCCAGACACTCGGAAGCCACTTTGTATATTAGCCGGTGAAAAAGCCTTTGGATAAGCTTGTCCAAGTAGACCTGCGATGTCGTAAATTGTTAGGTTTTTCCCTGGATTATTCGTCATCCAATCAGATGCAACACTGTTGTAGTAGGTTTTCAGGGGTTCGAAGACAGTGCGATCCAGCGGCTGCAGCTTATGTGACGTATGTGGGGGCAGTGTCAATAGAACCAGGCCGTTGGATCGGGCAAAATTTATGATTTCAATGTTAACATGACTATCATGATTGTCAAGAATAATTAGTTGCTTGTTGTTTAAGCTGCAATTGGAATGTTTCCGAAAGTGTTCCAGATACTTCAAGAAGTTTTCTTTTGTCATCCATCCAGATGAATGGGTAGCTCCTGCAGACCCCGGTGGTGCACCTTGCAGCATGCGGTCTTGCCAGTTCACTATTGGTAAAATGAGGAATGGGGGGACATGATTCCCACAAGCATTTACTGCAGAACAAACTGTTACGAGCTGTCCCCTCTCGCCCGACGTCACTTTTGCTACCTGTTTAGCACCTTTCGGTCCAATGATTTTTGACGGCCTGTGAACAGTTGTCACACCTGTTTCGTCCAGATTCCAAATGTTTTCAGGTGTAAACCCATGCTTTTCTATAACAGTTTTCAGTTTGGCAAAAAAGGTGCTCACAGTGTGTTTATTAAATGCTGTACTACGAGCTAAGCTGGTCGGTTCAGGATTTCGGAGAGACAAGCAGCTATTTCTGTCCATGAAACTCCTTGCCCAATCTCGACCTGCTATTTTCTTTACATCCCAGGTTGCAGGGATTTTCTTGTGATTTGCCACACCAAACTCGTAGGCAAGTTCTCGAAACTTCATCAGTGATAAACCATAGTTCAGGCGAGACGCATGGAGAAGGTAGTCAGCGAGTTGTTTTTCTTCTTCATCGGTAAATACCTGTGCCTTCTTGAACCCAGGCAAGCGATCTGCTCCTCTTCTAATTAGTCTCTTCAGCGTCATTACATTTATGTTTGGCGGTGCCTTTCAAAGACGCCCCATTTTTCACTGCTGCAACAGCCGCGGCAACAGTATTAGCTTCTGGCAGTACTCGCTTCTTTGCACCATCTTTTGGTTTGTATTTCTTCGGCATCTGCAACAGCGAATAACGTCACAATTTATTACAATTAAGGCATGCCACAAGTAGAACACAATAAGGGAGACTTGATCCCGGGATCACATCTCCCCCATGGAGCTGGAATCAACTCTCCCTAAAATTCACTGAATTTTTAAACCAAAAATGTAAACAAACATAACCTTGTAAAGGCAACTTCAATTGCTTAAAATGATCCTAAGAAACAACATACAACTGCCATGACTCGAAAATATAGGTCTCTTTCATGGAGAGTTAACAACAACGAATAATGTACTTACCATAAAAAATATTTCACATGAGAAAAACACTAAAACTGTCACAGAATGAGAGAAACGCGTTGTAGCGCCATCAAATTTGTTTGGTTACTTTATAGTTGATGTGAGATAACCAATTGTGCCAACAATCCGGACGTAAATCATTTAGGCGCGAAATTAGAAGATGGGATCAAGTCTACCCTGGGATCATGTCACCCTACTCTCCCCTAGATATGAGAGAAAATCCGAAAATCTGAATTTGAAGATTTGGAAGAAGTAGGTATTGCAACCCAAAGCATCCAAGAAAATAAAAAATCCCAAAAATTCAAACAATAAAAAAATTAATTAATAATACTGAAAGGTTCCACCCTGTATATACAACTTACGACGACACATACATTTTTGAGAGTTGGCAACCATGCAATTTCTAGGTGGGGAAAAGCTGCCTGCGCCATCTAAAAAGCACGGACGGGGTTTACTTTTGGCATCTTGTTTTGAATGACGGTCGTGAGACGTGAACGCGTCGCTGCTTAAATGTTTGTTGTTATTTTGTGTTTTTTTAATGCAGGTAGTAATCTTTGCATTTCTTTATATTGTATTTGTGTTTTGTATGCCACATTTTATATTTGTTGTGTTTGAATCTGTTTTTGAAATTTACTTGGTTTAACCGCAATGCATAATCACATATGTGATACCGTTATGCTATTGTTTGTAATTGTTTACGTTTTTGGTGTAATGCTTGCTTAATTTATGTTTATTGATGTTGATTACTTGGTCTTGTCCCTAAAGTAACACATTCGTATAAGTTTTGATCATTTTATTTTAATATGTGGAAATTACCGATTCGTTTGATGTATGTACTGACTTGTTGTTTGTAACTAACATTTTCTCCGTGAGTGAAGCAGTCACTGGAGTGGTAAAAACTGTAGTCAAAATTGAGCTACAACACCTAATTCCGTGAATGTCTTCGACTTTCAACTGTAGGCTCGAAACCCCGAAACCAGGGGCGAGTTACCTATCTTGCAGGAGCGGGATTACGCTAATCAAAGCTCTTCAGTTTAGAATCTATGTGCGATAAATGAGTGGCGATTCAATAATTTCCACATATCTTGTTTTTAGTTAAATTTGGTTACAAGGCCATGTAATTTTCCATCTTGCTTTTAACAAAAGGACTTTATTGCACCAAAGATGAGTCACATCTTGTGTATTTCACCATTTCTAAGAATCTTGGTACCTGCTTACCTGACTCATAATTCCCAAAAAGCTTTTAACCTATTTGTTACCTCTTGAAGTCGACATGCTACTTTTGTGATGTTATAATTTTATGTTACGCATTCACATCATTACAAACAATCAATTTTACTACACAATTTAATATTAATTTGACGGCTGGTTTTTTTATTGGTAACTTCTTTTTTTCCTAGCCTATTTCTATTTTTACTCGTTGAACTACCATTTTCAAAGTTTATTTTTGCAATGTAATTTATTTCGACTTAAATTTCCGAGTTACAATCTTAATAATTGCGATCATTATTAAACAAACTTTTCCAATTTGAGTGTTTTATTTTACGTTCCTTCCCTACTGTGCTTCAGGTCAAAGCTTTGTCTACAACTAACGTAAGGGGGTCCTGCCTTAGATGTTTGATCACGTGCCACTTTTTTAATTTAAGCGGGATCTTGTTTAGTTTTGGAGAGCATAGTTATGCGGGTGGCCATTTTTAAACGTTGTCGGGTTGGCTTTATTTCCGTGTTCTTGTAGTGCGAAGTTAGCGTAGAACCTGGGGGTTAAGTACACTACAATACTAGTAAAAATACTAATACAAGCTGTGCTCTGAAATTGAATTAGATGATACGAAATTCTAGACAATAATATTCAATTTATTTTTACTATCAGACGTTAAAAGTAAATGCTGGATCAGTTATTGCCATTTCATTGGCTTAATAAATGATTCTTGCAACAGGAGGACTAGTACCAACAATGCTTGTTTGTTGTAAAACTAACCTTTTCGCTCTTTCCTAATATATTGTTCGTAAGGCTCCAAAAATGTACAAAGTACGAATTATGCGGACATGTGTAACTCACGTGAATAGCAGAAAAAAAGTTGCTTAAATTTTGACATTGATTAGAAATTCCAAGGCCGCCATTCCGATTGCGTATACCGCCCACAACCTAAGCTACAAGATCAGGGAAGTCCCTAGGTGCAGATGCCAAGAAAAAACTGGCCACACATTTACCATTTCGAATGTAAAATTTACCTGCGTGAATCTGTGCAGATTTCGCGAAGGACAAATCAAGTTGACTCTGACCTTATCCTTAACCCAATACTTTAATTGATTCGATACGGGTTTTTACAAACGCTGATATAGAGGTTAACGACTTTGCAAGATGTTTACCATAACATATATACGCATTGATGGATTTCTTTTATAACCTTTCGCCCGGTTCCTCTCTTGTCAGTGCTATCCAAATAAACATTGATGAGAGCATCCCATTGCAAGGTGAAGGTTTTTGTTGCAATATGAGGCAATTTGAATGTTTGTCGTGCATTTCTTTTAACCTTTCGGAAGAACATGTTCATTAATTAACGAACCGCAAAGCAATATATGCATTACGACGATTAGCACGTGAAGGAAACCAGCCATAAACACGACCTTTTTAAGGTGAATTAAATCAGAAAAACCGTGGACACTACAATTGCAAATCCCTAGACAGAGGAAGTCATATACCAGCGAAGTTTAGCTCTTTAGCCCTCCATTTATAAAATTTATTATTGTAATTAGGTTCTAGAGACCCGCTATAAAATTCTAAAGTTCTGACAAACAAATTTGGAAAATATAGAGGCAAGAGGCCAAATGTACGCAGTGTTAAGATATTTTTCGAGGGTGGGATAGGAGAGCGGAACTGGTTTTATTCTTCATGGTACTCTAATAAAAGGTCTCAACGAAAGGAATCAATTTCTACCAACCATAGCCTTCCTCTTCCACCCCTTACCGTAATCGGAAATAATTTCTTATAACTCAAGAGCGGATTGTCGGAGGAGGGTACTTACAAAGGGTGATTGGGACGTATGGTGGAAATATACCCATTGGAATTGTCAAAACATGCAGCGCGAATATCTCGAGATTGGAATGACGGAGGAGAGTGCTTACAAAGGGCTATTGAAACTGTGGACTAGGTACATCTAATGGTAGGGACAAAACAAAAGTGCCAATATGTCGAGAGCAGAGTGTCGGAAGATGATACTCACAAAGAGGGTGTTAAAAAATGCCCTTTATCTGTACAAGAGTTGGGCACATTTTGTATTTGTTTTAGTTCTTAGTAAGTCAATAATATAGTTCAGAGAAAAACAGCGCAAGGCCTCGTCAAATGTTCTGAAAAACAAATAATATTCACTAAATATACATTTTGTAGCAAAATGAAAGATGTAGAATGATCTGAAATGTGTCAAGAACTCCAAAATTTTGCTAAAAATGTATACCTATACTTTACATACCAAAAATGTCAAATACATCCCCAACCATAAAAGGTTCAAAAACTAAAGAAAAATCTGAGGAATTCTAATAGAATCTAACCAGAAACAATATCACGAATATTCCTTTAGTACCTAAAATACGAAAAAGTTTCTAATTTTTTTCAGTTCACCCCAAAACCGTTCAGAAGATGCACAGAATTGTAGTACAAACAAAATCTGTTTCGCATTTTTTAATGGCAATAGTGAAAACTTCATTTAGGTCCAAAAAACTATGTGGGTTTTCACAAGTGGGCAGAGTAGCTGCTGTGAACACTTCTGTTGATCTGAAATTGTAATACAACATTCCTTGTAATATTGGCTACAAAACATATCCGTTCGATCGATTTCCATCTGCTCATATTGCTCATTAAGAACAGGTTTAAGAGACCGCCAAAAGTTAAGGCCTCTCACTACTAACTCGCGATTTCTAGAAACCCGGATTTCTATTTGAGCACCAGTACTGCCGAATACTTGACCTTCTCGGGGTAAGCAAAACCCAATTACACTTGAGTTTTACCACAGCCAAAACCAGGAAGCTTTTTCGCTTGATTATTTGCATTGCTCAAAACCGAATCCCTTCAAAAATATCCGGTATAGTCCCTACGCATCTTTCCTAATTTATTGACTCTCCAAAATGGCGCTTTATTAATGAAATCGGCCATTCTTAATCATTAACTCATTCGATTCGTTTAAAATCCACCAATTACGCTAGCTCTAGGGCCATAACTCACAATTCCACGTTTGTTCAAATTTGCAATTCTGCTTTGCTTACGTTTTTTTGTAGTAAAATCACGCAATTCTACATCGGCAGCTTTGGTCACGTAGACCTAATTAAGATGATATAATTAACGCTGGACAGCGTTCCGGAGCTAGTGTACAGGTCACGTATTTAACAAGAAAAAATAAAGGATTATTGATTTTGGAATTGAAAAACACCAACATAATTTCTAACTAAAGTTATGGCCCGCACCGTTTAATAAAAACGTTATGGAGGGTTTTCACTTTGGACTTTGGAGAGAAAAAAATGGTCTTGGGGATAGTTCTAAAAGTTTCTTCTTCTCTAATACCCTAATACCATATATAATAATAAAACTAGGAAGC